GACTTAACGTAGTGTGGAAAGGGAAGCACGTTGTGCTTAAATATCTTTTGTTGCTTAATTGATTCAATGGTGCTTGATTTACGAGTGTGTTGGATATGGAGAGTGTGTCGTTGTTCATATCATGTGATAAATGTGATAGTGGGAGTGTGTACTCTTCAACCTTGGAAAAGTTTTTATTCTTGGAATATCCTTTGGAAGTTACATTTCTTACACCTAAGTGAGGAATTGCATAGAAAAACCATTTAGGTTTGCATTTGATGCATGCTTGTATGAATTCACCTCATATCTTGCTTAGACCTTAGTAAACGATATCTCGAAGTGGGAGTGTGTACTCTTCAACCTTGGAAAGATAAAAATATGCAAGGTCGGAATGAACTAAATCTTGATAAGGTATGGGGCGAAAGGTGAACCTTGTGGTGAGAATGGAAAAGAATTCCTTAATCCCAAAAAGAAAAAGCATGAGTGAATGAAGTAGGGGAATGACGATGAGAAAAGGCAAAGACCAAAAAACAAATGGTCATCCCATGAGATAAAAAAAGAGGTAAGCCATCTTGCTAGGATTTGGGGCAATTACATTGCACTGTCTTCGAAAAAGCGTAGAGCTGTACGTGAAGTCGGTTGTCCCAATGGCGATGTCTTAGGAGATGAGAAAAAAGAGAGTAAAAAGAGGGAGTCATTGCTTATGTCAGAATCACAAAAGATTCCATCGGGCTAAAACATAGAGATCTATGTCGCGGGGAGTCGATCTTTGGCATAAGGGTGGAGGCGAGAGAGAACCAACGCTTAAGTCGGGATTGTGCAAAGTTTCCCCGGGTTACAACACAGAGCTCTACGCCAGAGGAAACTAGACCTTGACTTAAGGTTGGTAAGTGGCCCATACCAAACCACTCACTTACTTTTTGTAGAGGGCCTTGACGATATAAGAATGGGGTCGGTTGGATTGTGCACATCGTTCCCACTAGTGTGGCTCGGCTATAGGCCTTTGCAAGATGAGAGGTGAATACACCTTTTGGATTGCATGCTTGATGATTGGTGTGAGAGTGTACCCTCCTTTGTTTTAATTCTACTTTTTATGAGTTTTTGCATATTTATTGCATGATATGAGGGACTTCACCCCCTCCGTTGGATTACACACTTATCTTGATTGACCATTGGATGAATTAAGTTCTCATTGAACTTAGCTTAAAGGTATCCTTGACACTTATATGATCATGGTGATTGGAGCTTGCTTGAGGACAAGCAAGAATTAAAGTGTAGAAACTTGTGATAAGTGTCAAAGACACACAGTTTTAGGGTCTCATTAGGGTGTATTTTGGGCTAATTATGATCCTTTGTGTACGCTTTCAAAAAAAATGATCATTTGTGTACCATTTTTAGGCCATTCAAGCTAAGATTGTGCATTGTGCTATAAAATACCACCACACTTTGTATTCTATGGTTTTGTAGGATAATTTGGATGAAAACGAGGCAAAGTGGCATAGTACGGAACAAAGTGGAAAAGGAGACAAGCCGAGGCCAAGACAGGAGGCACAACGCATGTTGTGACGTGTGTTGTGGAGAAACAGAAAGATCCACGAGGAGGCACAACGCGCGTTGTGACGTGCGTTGTGCAGAAACAGAATGATCCACGAGGAGCACAACGCACGTCTCAGAATCCGTATATCAAGAACTTAAACGCACAACGCACTTTGTGAAGGGAAGGCTATTTAAGACATTTGTAGATTCATTTCTATAAGTCTTTTCTTTTGGGAGTTTTCAGATTTGGCGAGAGTTAGAGAGAGTTAGACATTAGATGAGCAAATTGTAGAGAGAGAAACACAAAAATCTTTAGATTTTAGATAGTTTTCTAAATTTTTATTGAAGATCAATTGAAGAAGGAGATTGACAACCTCTTAATAAAGAGATCTTAGCAAGTTTGTAATCTACATTGGTATATTTCTAATTCTACTTTTATATTGTTTGATTATGTTTAATTTCATGTTTTTAATGTTGATTGTTATGCTTGGCTATATTAGTTAGGGATTGAATTCTGAAGTGATTGATTATGATGCCTATGTGACTTAATTCTTGAATTGGGGATTGAATACTTGCTATGCTTGAAGTCTTGTTGTTAGGGTTTGATTTGTAAGCATCCTATGGAGCTAGGCCACCTCCTAGGGTTGTGCTAAGCAAGTGATCTAGGCAAGAGATTGCTAGATCACTTGTAGCTTCTAGCCTTGATATTTTCTAGCATCATAATCCAATTTGGATTGGCTAGAAAGGTAGTGTAGGCAAGGTGTTCGAGGAATGGTCAAGGTGACTCAAAGAGCCCGACATAAGAAATTCTAGTATCTCCTAGACAAATCCTAGTAGTTGAAAGACGAAAGGAAAATAACTTCCTCCCTAGACCTAGCATATGCAATGTTCCTTTCCCATGTCAAATGATTCTAGGTGCATCATAATCATCACTAGTAATTCTACCCCTATTTCCTTTATTTGTTATTTCATTCTAGTTGTTTGTTGCTTGAAACCTACACGACCCTATCAAACATTGCGTGACATTCCGTCAATTGTATGCAAACCTCCTTCTAATTAATATTGACAATGCAAGGCTATTCCGAACGGCCATCCTTTGAGAACAATAAATCTGGGAGTCATCCCACAAACTTTTGACGCTTGATCCGATATGAGGAAAAAGGACTTATCATTCACTGAAAAATATTTGAAGGTAAATGGAATTGAAATTCCATAGAAAATAAATTCCAGGAAAATGGATTCCATATTATTTGATTGGTGGAAAAAAAAATTACTGGGAATATAAATTTCATTGTTTGGTTGGATTTGGAATTGTAAGGAATAATGAGTATAAAGACAATTATAACCTTACACAATAATAACAACAATAATAATAATGGTAATTACAAAAAAATTAGTGACGGCAAAATTGTCCTTTCTTGTTTTCCATGGTAAACAAAATACCATTGGGTGGTGCCAAGGAAAATGTTTTCCATCCAACCAAACAAAGGAAAATTTAGTTTTCCTCAAATTCAAGGAAAACATTTTCCATCCAACCAAACACCTCCGGATTGTTTGATTAATTAATTTTTTGTAACAATTTTGCTCCAAAATGCTAAAATTTAAAAAATTGTTCAAAGTAGCTTTTTCGATAAGCTTTTTGAGAAACTCATTTTATATGTAATCAGCTATCAGCTAGCAACTAATTACCAAACATTTTTCTACAATAAGTTAATGTTATCAATTAAGTTAATACATCAAACATGCTTTATTACACCGCCTTTTATGCATACATGTTTTTCCCCTACCTCGACCTAAATTGCTCCAATAAATTTTCAAATTGGTACTACTCAATATTTTTTTAAAACATGAATAATATATCAAATTGATTAAAAAAAAAAAAGTATTACGTATTACAGTTTTGCTCCACAAATTCTATCCATTCCTCCATTATATTTATTTTTAAAATTTTCATTTTACTATAAATGGTTTATTCAAGTACCATCCATCCATCATCAACAAAATGAACTATTACAATTATGGGAATCCACTGTGTGGATAATAATTAAGCATTGATCGAACTTATCCACCACACCATTACAAGAAAGCGTGAATATGCAAGGAATAACATAACCCAATTAAATTCAATTCCCACAATTGGTAATATCCAAACCAAATACGGTTTTATGATAATGACAGATATTCCTAAATCCTATAGACAAATGAATCTGGCAGATCGGGTATTCTTGTTTGTGGTTTACTGCTGCAGCCGGTAACCGGTCACTCCAATTATGCACTCATTCTTTATTTTATTTTATTTTTTATAAATTCCGCATTCTAACTTATATTATACTAATTCTAAGACCCCAGAGTTGAAAGGTAGACGGTCCTTAGTTTCTCATCTACTCTAATCGGTCAAGGTCTCATAGTGATCTCTAAAATTAACTAATACTAAGCTCACAGAACCTCGCTCCTAGAGCTACTGCGGAAGTCAATCGCAAGTCACACAATAAGCTAACTGATCAAGTGATAGTTTTCATGTGCACAAAAGTGATCCAATCTAGACTTTCCAGAATCCTTGAGCCTTTTTTCACACATGCTTTTGTGGAATTTGGACTCACACTATTATTATTACTGAAGCAATATTTGAAGGTGATCAGTTGAAATAATTGAGTTAACCCGTGAAACATTTTTCTTAGAGTTTTTCGCACTTTTGGTCCCACGAGTATTGTGACATTTACATGATTGCTCCACGACTTTCGAACCTTGCAAACTTGGTTCACAACTATCATTCTTTTTAAAGCACAAATGGTCATTCCGACTCAATTTCCGTCCATTTGTGACTGAAAAAAAAATTTCCCTTTATAACAGGGTTGAGTCGTGGACGGAGATTAGACCGGAAGGACCATTTGTGCTATAAAAAAATGATAGTCTTGGACCAAATTTGCAAGGTTCAAAAGTCGTTGAACAATCACGTTAGTACAACAATATTCGTGGGACTAACAAGGCATTTGGTTGGAGGGAATTTAAATTTCATTCCCACTTAATTTCCACCTAATTCCAAATGCCACTAAATTTCTTAGTTTGGTTGGAAGGAATTGCAATTCCCTCATTTTCATGGAATTAAAATCCTATGCTCTCCCTTCGGATTTTAATTCCATGAATTTTAGGAAGAAAAAAAGATAATTATAAGACAAAATTACCCCTCATTTTTTAACACAAAATTGATATCTGACAACAACGAGAATTTTGGATTGTATACTACTTATTCCCTTTCAATTCACATGTATACCAAAATTAAAATTGAAATTCCCAGTAATTTTATTCATTTTGAAATTTAAATTCTCACCTTATTCGGAGTAATTCATCTCCCATAGAATTACAATTCCTTTCCTATGTAATTCCATCTCTCGTAAAAGTGGGAAAGTGTTTTCCTTTTTTTTTTCTTTTTTTTTTTAATCTTCGCTGATGCGGAGTATATATATATATATATCTTCCGCCACCATATCGTTATTTCATTCGTTGAATCGTTAATGCTTCTTTAGCCTTTTGTCCTCGGTTTCACATTTATTTACGCTTATACCACTATTGTTATGTTCGTTGCCGTGTGCCGGGAGCTACAGAGCCTCCGCTCGCCGCCGGCTCCCTGCGCTTCCGGCCTCCGTTTCATCCGTTACCGCCGCCTCAGGTAACCCTACACCTTTCCAAATCCAATCTATAGACAACTCTCTCTGTGTGTATATATAGATAGATAGATAGATACATATATATTCGATCCCATGCCGAGCCCGAAGACTCAACGGAGAGGGGGAACGGAGGAGAAGAATAGGAAGGGGAGATTGGCAGAGAAAGCGATGTCGTTTAGCGGACACAGCGGAGCGAGTTCTGCGGCGGTGTTGCTGCAGAGGCCGAGGACGGTGCCGGACTTACTCGCCGGCCGGAGAAGTTCATCCGCCGGAACATCGCCGTCGTCGGCGGCGCTGCAGTTCCCGCCGAAGCTAACGAAGCTGCTGCTGAATGTGACGATACAGCGCAGCACCGGCGCGTTGCAGGTGCTGATTCCGCCGGATTCCACGGTGGACGACCTCATCGCCGCCGCGCTCCGCCAGTACGTGAAGGAAGGACGGCGGCCGGTGCTCCCCTCCACCAACGCCGCCGACTACGGCCTTCATTATTCCCAGTTTAGCTTAGAGAGTAAGCTCCGATTCAATTTTTTTGGGAAATCTGAACCGTTGAATTTTTTTTTTTTTAAGGGTTTTGATTGGATCGTTTTTTATTGGTGGAAAAAAGGTCTGGACAGGACAGAAAAGCTGGCGGCGTTGGGGTCACGTAACTTCTTCCTCTGCCCGGAAATGGCAGAAACCGCCGCCGTCGGTGGCGTAACGACGTCGTCTCCATCTTCCAGCTGTTCAAACGAAGTTGACAAACCAACTAAGAGTATTGGCTTGTCCTGGTTTAAGTTCACACTGTGAAAAACTTATAATTTGCTTTTCCTTATATTAAATCATATATAGTAATAATTAAGTAATATTCTTGGAAAAGTTGTTCCGAACAGTTGAGGTGAGATCTGATCAAAACTCGATTGGATTAGTCTCGAACTGTGATCTGTATTATGCACAACCTTATACCGTAATTATTATTGTTATTACGGAGTATTTTTCTTAGCAGCATAGTATTACAAGGTTTGTTAGGTCTCATCATATTTAAGAGATCAGATCGAGATTAAAGCTTGTATATACAATATTTAATTATTATCAATGGGATAAGTTAAATAGATAAAATTTATTTTGTATTACTCTATTTAAATTAGTTAAGGCAATAATTGAATTCATAGTTTTTAAGTACGAGAATTATTAATTCTTTCAGGCTAAAATAGTTTTGTGTTGTTTATAAGATGTAAGTATATATTGTCTTTCAGCATGTAAACTGTAAATTTTCTCTATGATATATATGAATTTGGTAATTCCTATGTACTTTGCTGAAATCTATTATATTATATTAATGTTTGTTGGATTTAGTTAATGCAAGAATGATTCAAGTTTAAAGTATTTGCAGTGATTCCTAAGGTTGGTTTTATACTGTGATTAGGATAGATCAGAGCCAACATAAACTATACTAATCATGGGTTAAGACTTTTCTGGGAAGGATTAGAAGACCAAGTTTAAAGATATATGCTTAGTCAGAGAGAAAACGAAAACGTTTCTTTTATCCTCCTCTTTTGGAAATTTTATACAAAGTTGTTATAAATATATCGTATAAAATATAGGGAATATCTTTCAAAAATCGACTTACAAGCTAGATCCGTGTACGCTAACCAAGAAGCTTTAGTGGCAAGCATGCTATGCAAATAAACCTGTAAGTGGAAGCTAGGTTATGGGTAATTTAGCTCACTGGTTTAGTAGGCAGTATTTGAAAGAAAAGATCAATGTTCGAACTTTGACAACAATAATGTGGAGATTATATTCAAAGTGAACAAATTCATTGTGCGCATCGATATTTGACCCCGTCTGCTGAACCACTGAGTCATCATAATTAACATTCTTTCCAAATGCTCTATCGGGCTAGGATCTCTATGAGCACACGTAAGTATCTTTCCTACAAGCAAACACAAAGAAGCTTGCTGAGAACCTTGCTCGAGGGCATGTACAATAGACCTTGTGGTGGATATTACATGAGAATCGTTGTTAAAAATCTAGTTGAAGATAGATGTGTTGGGTGGAGGTCTGAAGGGGCAAGTCTAGCATTTTGCCTCTCGAAAATGTGGCTGTATAAAGAAATAAAGTTGTGTCTTCGCTATGAGCTATATCTTTTAGCGTAATGGTAAGCGTTTGATCCTAACAAGTGGTATTAGAGTCATGTCACGGTATAAGAAAATAAAGTTTGCGCCTTGACTACAAAGCATACCATTTAGCGTAGTTGTAAGTGTTTGACCCTTACAAGATACAAGGTTCATCCAATTATATTTATGTGACGGTATAAGGAAATAAAATTATCCCATTATCACTAACTATACATTTTGTCACAATTATAAGCACTTGATTCTAACAAGACACAGATTCATCCAATTATGCTTCGTTCTCCACACTCATATCCAACACTTGAGATGATGTTCGAACCCAAGTATATAAAAACCTGATGGGAAGTCATTGATCATAGGAATTGCCCTTGTATGGTTGTTAAAACTAAGCTATATCCGAACATGTGGTGGAGTGTTGTCGGGCCAAACCCTGTATGGACCGTGTTGCCTAATCCGCATCGAATTGAAGCAGTGACAAAAACAATTTTCATGCTTTAATTTGTGAATTCCACTTGTTTGTATTCATCATTACATGGTCGGAGAGTTGTCGTTTTCAACATCTTGTCACCAGTTTCCTCAATTATTTCAGAAATTAAAGTGGAAAATACAATTCTTTAACCAAAAAACAGTTTAAATATCGTTAAATATAAAGATATTTTAATTTTAATTATGGATATTTTTAAAAAAATAAACATAAAAAATATAACGGTTCAACCTACTTTGTATAAAAAAGATTAAAATGTCTTTGTATTTAGAGATATTTCAATGATTTTATTGATGAAGGACTAAAAATGATCATGTCACAATAATACTCGAACCAAATGAGGATATTCTAATAAAAAATGACTAAAAGTAATTGTCGCCTATAAATTTAAGACAAAAAATGGAATTAACTCATATAGATAATATTCATGACAAACAATTAACATTGTTAGTTGAAGTATTAAATTTGCCGACATGGCATTGACATGTACATTGCTATTGTGTAACTTTGTACTTTTTAGATTTTTTTCATACTTCATCCGATATTTTCGAATCCTTTATTCACATTTTGTTTTTCACCAGGAAGGTTTTCTAAACCTCTTTGACCCCCTAATTTTTAGTATTATGCTCTCACGCAATTTACAGGTTCGACAAGCAATCCATCTTTCATGATTAGGAGAATTATAATAATCTGCCAACTGGTCATAGAGGTAAAAGTTGAAAAGAATGACCAGAGATCGAGTCTCACCAGCGGCAGTGTGGGAGCAACCTCTCAAAGTGAGGGGTTCCTTGTACGCAATAAGCAAAGGTCTAGCCTCTGTGGGGGTTCCTTGTACGCAATAAGCAAAGGTCTAGTCTCTGTGGTGGTTCATGTTCAGTTAAGTTACCATGACTTACATCATCTCAGATGCTTTGTCGGCCGAGGTCAGTTGAGTTATCATGACTTACATCCATATCAGATGCTTTGTCGGCCGGGGTGTGAGGAGACCTTAGGGGTTGGGGTTCAAGAAAGTTGGAAAGAGAGAATAATAATAATCTTTGTAATGAGTTAAACTTCTAATTTTGCAATTAATTAGTAATCAAGTTATTAAACGTATCAAATCACTGAATTATAGTGGGATTGAAAGAAAAACAAAAAAATCAGACCTGATGAAATTTCTTCCTATACATATGAGTTAAACTTCTAATCTTACAATTAATTAGTAATCAAGTTATTAAACGTATTAAACCACTGAGGCACTGAATTATAGTGGGAAGATTTTAAAAGATAAGATGAGGTTTCTTTGTTATGCTCGCTTGCCCATGACTGTTGAATTCTGGGTTCTAAGATGAGGCGAAGCAGGACCGCCAATGTTTTCTAGAAACAACGTTGGATTATTTTATGAATAATTTAAAAAAAAAAAAAAAAAAACAGGTTGAAAGGGCAATTCATGACATGACAATACTAACACTAAGGGGGTGTATTCAATCATGACTTTCATAGTGTTTTAAAGACTTTTATGAACTTTAAAAGTTTGGAGGTATTCAATTCAAACTTTTAGAGAGTCTTTAAAAGTCAGGCGGTATTCAATCAAGATTTTTAAAGAGTCTTTAAAAGTCGTGTGGTATTCGATTAAGACTTTTAAAGAGTCTTTAAAAGTCATGTGGCATTCAAAAAGTTATGAACTTTTGTAGACTTTTTAATTTTAAGACTTTTGTAGACTTTTGTAGACTTTTCCTTCTCAAATATAAATAATTGAAATCCGACCATCAACCCCAAGATTTCAAATTTTCTTTCTAACAACTTTGAATGTTTTCTTTCCCTATTTAAACTCTATTTTTTCTCCCTATTTAAACTCTATAAACCTATCTAAATTCAATAAAATTATTTTTTTCTTCATTATTCTATATTTTTCTCATACCTAAACTCTACCAATTTTTCTCTCTCATAAACTTTAGAATCTTCATCTAAAAATTCGAAATAATATTATTTTTACTTCATTATTGCTTGTTTATATTGATTTTTATTTATATAATAAGAAGAATTTTATGATATATTATAAATGTTTTGTAAGAAAATTGTAAATGATAAGAATCAAAATCATTGAAAGTTTGTAATGATGTATTCAATTTAGAATTTCAATGACTTTTGTAGACTTTTTAAAATAAAAAGTTGATAAAAGTCTATGAATGTTTTTTATATAGACTTTTATAGAGTCTTATAAAGTTTTAAAAAGTTTTGAACGACTCTATGAAAGTCAATCAAAGTTTATTAAAATCTATCATTTTAAAAGTTTTTAAAACTCCACAAAAGTCATGATTGAATACACCCCCCTAATTTTCTAAAGCTCGACTCCATCTATTTCCATCCCTATTAATAATTTAATTTAATATATATGCATCCCTCTAAAATTTTCCCCTCTAATCTTTCTCTTGTTAGATAATATTTTCTAATTGGACAATTAACTTTCTTTTTAATTAATAGTGAGGTCACATAAGACATGGGCACCAATGATTTTAACCACATCATTGGGGAAAATATTAAGAAAAATTTAGGAGAGAAAAATATCATTTTTCCTACATATATGCACAAATTATGTTGTGCATGGTGCATACGGATGCAAAAATGACGTCGTTTTGCATCAAAACGTGTGTCCTACTTTTAAAAAAAAAATCAGTTTCGATTCCTAACAACAACATTATGTTATTCATTTTTTAGTTCATTCATTCTGGATGTATAATTATGCAATTCTGGATGTGTAGTTATGGAATTCTGGATTTATAGTTATGAAGTTATTGATGTGTAGTTATGCAATTCTAGATGTATGTTATGAAGTTATGGATGTCTAGTTATGCAATTCTGGATTTATAGTTATGGAATTATGAGTGTATAGGTATGTAATTCTGGATGTATAGTTATGAAATTATGGATGTTTAGTTATGCAATTCTGAATTATATATATTTTTTAAACTAGACGTCAAAACGACTTCGTTTTTGCATCTAAATGTACAATGCATGGTGCATATGGATGCACAACATAACAATGGCATATATGCATCCTAAATATTTTCAAGTGAATTAAGTGAAGAAGCCCAGGCCCACTAACAACTCTATCCATCATTATATTGTAGCCCATGATCCACATGACCATAAGCCACATTGCAATGTAAACCATTAATATATAAATGGGATATTCAATATATATATATATATATATATATATATATATATATATATATATAAACATAATAAGCCTCGATTAAAGTTATATTCTTGATTTATGTCCCTCTTTTTGTATGCAAATAAATGTATACATTTTACTTTAAATGCTGTACATTTCAATGTTATTAGACAAAACTACCATTACACCGTTAGTTTTTAATTCTAACATTGATAACACATCATTATTACCATACACCTATATACATCATATTTTTTTCTATTTTTAATTATAATTTTATTAAAATCATTATATATTTATTTAATACTTGATTATATTTTAATTAAATTTCTATGAATGATAAATTATATATGTGTGTGTACAAAATACATATATTATTTGTGTATATATAATACAAATT